CCTTACCCATTATGCAGAATAATGGACAAGAAGTCCCCCGTTGTGCTTTGATCATTACGAGATACATAAAACAGAATTCCATTGAGGGCCAAGGGTTTGAAGTTGATGGTGATCTGGGTACTAGTTCTTACGTAGGTCTTCGGAAACAGCATATATGAAAAATTCTGGAACAGCGGTGTTTCAATTAAAATATCTAGAAACGGAGGAAAAAAGACAATCATTACAAAGTCATAGGAAAACGACAAACATGCCTGCTCAAATACACACAAAAAGATCTACCCGTGACGAAGCATCTATCAATGTGAATAGCAGTACATCCTAACTTATTGGCCGTTTTTAAGCTAGGGACGTTATTAAATGTCCCTCAGACGTAAAAGCTGTCTCGAGACGACTTTAACGTCTAGTATAAAAACGGAAAATAGGAAGACGTTTTTAACGTCTGTCTACGTTAACGTCTTCTTTTAAGAGCGTCTGAACGACGCTTTTATCAGTCGCCTTTAACGTTTAAGACGTTAAACCTTTCTGGTATAAAAACGCGACGCCCTTAACTGCCTGCCATCTTATCAGCTAGTAGATTTGTTCGTACATTGGCGCGCTAAAAGTTGCTTGTTTCCAGTGTCCTCCGAGTACAGAATCTTGTCGTTTTTTTTATTGAAAAAAAAAAATATATATATAAATATACAGTCGAACCTCCGGTTGCAACCACCTCTCGTAAGCGACCACCTCTCCTCAGCGACCAGTTTACCAAAATACCAAAAGTTTCCAAGTCAGATCACTATATTTGGAACCTCTTGTAAGCGACCGCGACCACTTTTAGAGCTAAAAGTTTGAAATTTTCTTTTGTTTTTAACCTCCCGTGAGCGACCATTGAACAGATTATAGACCGAAAATTGGACACAATGTAAGATGTTTTAACATCACTGCATTCCTGGGTGGTACAAGAGATGAAAATTTTCTCAGCGAAAAGTACCGGTTTTTTTTTTCTCGAAATTGACTTTTCACATAAATGGGGCATTTAAAACATGGGTAATTCTCTGCAGTTACCATATGCTAATGAGGCAAAATTTTGACCCGCAAAATGGGTCTGAGCTCTCGTAAGTGTTCACCTCCCGTAAGCGACCACCTACGCTTGNCTGTCTCGAGACGACTTTAACGTCTAGTATAAAAACGGAAAATAGGAAGACGTTTTTAACGTCTGTCTACTTTAACGTCTTCTTTTAAGAGCGTCTGAACGACGCTTTTATCAGTCGCCTTCAACGTTTGAGACGTTAAACCTTCCTGGTATAAAAACGTGACGCCCTTAACTGCCTGCCATGTTATCAGCTAGTAGATTTGTTCGTATATTGGCGCGCTAAAAGTTGCTTGTTTCCAGTGTCCTCCGAGTACAGAATCCTGTCTTTTTTTTTTTAGTTGAAAAAAATATATATATACAGTCCAACCTCCGGTTGCGACCACCCCCCGTAAGCGACCACCTCTCCTCAGCGACCAGTTTTCCAAAATACCAAAAGTTTCCAAGTCAGATCACTATATTTGGAACCTCTTGTAAGCGACCACGACCACTTTTAGAGCTAAAAGTTTGAAATTTTCTTTTGTTTTTAACCTCCCGTGAGCGACCATTGAACAGATTATAGACCGAAAATTGGACACAATGTAAGATGTTGTAACATTGCATTCCTGGGTAGTACAAGAGATGGAAATTTTCTCAGCGAAAAGTACCGGTTGTTTTTCTTCTCGAAATTGACTTTTCACATAAATGGGACATTTAAAACATGGGTAATTCTCTGCAGTTACCATATGCTAATGAGGCAAAATTTTGACCCGCAAAATGGGTCTGAGCTCTCGTTAGTGTCCACCGCCCGTAAGCGACCACCTACGCTTGACATTTTGGGTGGTCGCTTACGGGAGGTTCGACTGTATTTTTTTTTGTTAGGCCGTGTACTTAAATGCGTCTCGTTTTTATACCAGACGCCTTTAACTTCTTAGACGTTAAAGACGTTGAAGAACACGTCTTAGGCGTTTCTTTATTATATAAAACAAGTAGCTTCCACGTTGCCGTGCGTCTGTTTAGTAATAGATCACAGATGACGTCAAAATGTGGTGAGAACACCAGCGACACACCCGCCTAACGGCTCGTGTGTCACTTTTTTGTTCTTACCACATTTGACGTCATCTGTGATCTATTACTGACCAGACGCACGGCAATATGGAATCTATTTGTTAATTAGAGTTTAAATTTCTAAACAATACAGTGCAATGCAGCAAGTACATGTACAATATAATACAGTGTACACCAATTGTAAAATGTTTGGAGTAATGGGTGGAGACACTGCAATAAGCTTTTCATTATCCTCAACTTCCAAATGATCACTTACTCACATAATTCCAATCATTTCTAATCTGTATTGACCTCAAATGAACAGAATGTAAATGAAAAAAAATGTAAATCTTATTTATAGTGGTCATGCACTTAGCTATACAAGCACTAAGCTTAGCTAGTTTACAGGCATGCCACTGAAACAAAGGAAACAAATATTTCAAATAAACGTAACATAGTTAAAAATCCCAACTGGCAGGAGGCAGACCAGGTGGCTATTTACAAAGCGTGACCAAGGATTTGAACTCAGGAGTACCAAATGCCGCTAGTGGCAAGGTGGAGGGCCTTGAATCCGGAACCTCTGGATTAAAACACTAGCGCCCTAAACCACTCAGCCACGCTGCCTCCTCCTGAATCATTTTAAGTAATTGCATAGGAATCCTGCATATGAAAACTAATGAATCAAGGTCAACTTTACACACCTTGGTCACAAAATTGTCCGGTTTTCCCTAACGGGCAGTCACACTTTACATCGTGTCCATCTGGACGGCAAGTTCCACTGATACAAGGATTGTCATATCCATAGCATGGCACTCGTCGACTGCTGCAGTACAGACCGGCCCATTCCGTGGGACAGGAGCAGAGGTATGTTGCACCTTCTCGCGTGCAGTTTCCTGCATTGTAACATGGTGGTGTACGGGATGAGCACTCATCGTAGTCTCCATCTCTAACGTTCCTTCCTTTCACCACGGCCCACTCTTTGGATGACCCTTGGACGCTTGTCGAAGTTGACAGCTGGATGAATTGTCTTTTAGTGCTAAATCTAATTGCTACATCATAAATAGAGCCATGAAAGCCTCCGCTCTTGAACTCCAGTACACTTGGAATCTGGCGTGGGTCAGGAATGCCACCAATGTACAGTGGCTCAGCCAGGTTCAGTCCAACATGAGAACCACCAGATTTGCCTTCTTTCCGCTGCTGATCATCAACATAAAGCCAGCCGTCAAGCCCATCTCGTCCGGCTACTACCACGTGCCACTCCTTACTACGGTTCAACGGCTCACTATAAATCCGTGCACTGCCTGCACCAAGGTTATATTGTAGCAGCACCATGTTGTTCTTCAATCCAACTGCAAAATGATCTTTTGCATTTTTATTATCTGAAAGTATTTTGTTTTTCCATGACTTTCCATGACCCACACTTCAATATCATGACTTTCCAGGCCTGGAAAATGAAATTATAAAATTCAATGACTTTCCAGGTTTTCCATGACCTGTACGAACCCTGTAAAATAATACATGGTTCAATAAATTGCATACCCACCTGTTTGACATTGCATTCCAACCCTTCCAAAGGGACAGAGACAGACAAAGTCCAGAGGGTTGGAGGCGTTAGGTATACACTCTCCTCCATTGCAACTCTCTGATTCACAAGCAGTGTAAATCTCGCAATTCTTTCCACTGAATCCTGCCGTGCAATTGCAGGTGTAATCATGTATGTTGTCCTTATGTGGGATGCATACTCCATTTCTGCATGGCATTTTCTGGCATGGTGGCATGTCACCTTCATTGATGTTATACCAGTCTTTAGCATCTGCATAGGAATATATGGTGTTACATCATTCTGTGCTGCATAATTAAACAGTAAAACTATTTACTATATGACTGAGAAAATTACTTCATTGTGATAGGCTGAGAGCAGGCCAATTTATCATTAACTCTTAATTTGCACTACGGTGTAAATTTACGTGCGCACGTTCGCAATTTTCTCAGTCATAAAATAAATGAGTAATCGTATGAAAACTCAAGCAATTGATGATTCACACCACTCGTGATATCTGAAAATTCGCATAAAGCCTCGTGCAATTTTCAGAGAATTTTCAAATATCACTCGTAGTGCAAATCCTTAATTGCATTCACATTCACATGATTACCTGTACTAATTCAGCACTGCATGCAGAGAAAGTCATGCCCGACAGCCTGGGGCTAGAGGATGTTTTTCTATCATTCACTCGCCTGATGGGCAGGTAAAGTTTTTGGGTTAAAATTTGCAAAAGGACAAATTTCAGCAGAGCTCTAAGAGAACAATTAATTATTTTAAGTTTTAATTTTCATTAATGAACTAATAGTGCTGGTGGGAAGATGTCTTTCTGGCTAGTAAAAATGACTGTCAGTCTAGTGCATGTACTCTTGTTACAGCTTGTCTGAGGGGCAAAATGGAAAACTTATTTTCTTTGCACCCTATTATGATTATAGTACATGACTTGTACACTGTACCAGTAAACAACTGGGGACAGCTCCTCCAAACTTCATATATAAAAATCATAAACAGCTCAATTTCACAATAGGATGCATACTTTGGTATGCTGGCCATGACATGATACATACATGTGCGTGTAATTATAGGAATACAACAACTCTCCAACAAGTGAGACACCTACAGTAAGTCACAAAGAACCAACAAACTACATGTACATGTACAACAAGGTTCATACTCTTTTGGGCTTTTGAAATTCCGTGACTTTCGATGACTGTTTCCATAATCTTTCCTATGTTTCCTATGCCTATGTTAAGCAGTTGTTCTCAAAGTATTGTCAAAACAATCTATTATTTAAGGTATTTTCCCACACTATGACACATAAAATGCATGCCAGTGTTTATTTTTTTACTGGAATTAACTGGCTTTCTGACTTGTCTGTTACTTTTCAACTTTTGATTTTTTTTGTCTGTTCATTCTCAGAAAGTTTATTGCATTTCCATGACTTCCCATGACCCACACTTCCATTTCATGACTTTCCAGGCCTGGAAAATGAAGAATATCCCATCAATTGCTACCTCCCAAAGGAAACAACTAAAGCTGCCTGCAGACTTCTCGAGTCTTCATAAATCAGCAAGTACATTGTACATGTATAAGATTTGGAAAACCTTCCACATGCTTTTGTTGCTTTAAAGTACAAGTCATGTAACAATGAAAATCAAAACAACCTTAGGGCTGTGCTCTTAAGAAGTGCCTGTCTGCCACAAGTGACTGACTTTTGCCTTCCGGCGACTGGAAAAAATACTTTTTTCATATAAGCTTATTGAGTGCTGGGCACCCGCACGGTTAGGATCCTTTGGGCTCCTCAAAAGTTCTCTTAGACCACAACTTTGAGCTTAGAATATTAAAATTGGAAGCTAGAATAATGCAAAAAATTAACGAGTTATACATAACATAATATGCATGTATAATACATAATACATGCATGATGACCACTCACCCACTGTCTTGTCCTCTTCCCTGCTCCCTCCTTCTCTCTCCCCCCTCCCCTGTTCCTTTGATGGGCTCATCCCTCCCCATCTCTGTTACTGCTTGTAGATAAGGCCCAGTGCGCATGTTTGCATTATAGATTTGTAAGTCAATAATTGTGAATTCAAGAACATACAGTGAAGTCAGCCACTGAAATTAATAAACCTTGCTCATTCTTCCTACAGTAAAATATTTTACCACAATTGCTACTAATCTCACAAACTGATTCGCTAATTCGCCAATGTCGATAAGAGTGCAGACAACGCTGTTCGCGTCAATGTGTCACACTCTTGGTCATGCTCTGACAAAAACATTTTCTTTGACGTTGATATTGTGGTAAAGAACAAATCAAATGTGGCTTAGCGTTGTCTGTGCTCTTATTGACAATGATATGCATCATTACAGAAGTCAAAATTTGTTGTGTGTGCCTCATGAGTCCACAACATTTTGACCACTGTGATAATGCATATTGTTGTCGATAAGAGTACAAACAATGCTAAACCACATTTGATTTGTTAAGTCTACTGCATACACTATTTATGCCTAGCTACATACAGTGTAATGTACTACCTGCAAGATTGATAGTTTCTCCGTTAACTTGCACATCTTTGATAGATCCAACAAAAGAGGATGATGGAGCAGCTTGGCCTTTGGTTTTGTTGAGCATGTCCAGGCCTGGTGGAACTCCCCCTATATACCAGTTGTCGTAGAGTTGTATCCCAATGAGTTTTCCTCTGACTTCACGCTTAAGTTGTACACCATTGCCAACTTGAAGAGTGCCAAAAGGTGTTCCTGAATTGCTGACATAACTAAAATATTAAATTAAAACAAAAACAGGTTATCAGGAGTGTCCTATTAATTAGACATTAGTATAAATCTACTGGCATTCTATCACGAATGGCATTTTCTGATTGGCTACGCTACTCACTAGTTATTCTGTGATAGATAGTGGGTAGTGTAGCTGTTTGCACTTGTTAACAAAATGGCGGCCACTCCTTTGCACTTTTGAAGTGTCTGTGAATAGGATTTAGATAACGCTATGAACGACTAGTAGATTTATACTAAAACAATAATTAGATTATGAGCTCAAGATTTCTATAGCCTGTGTAGCTGGTGGTATTGTACATTGTAGGCACGCAGAATAAAGTTCTGGCAGCGAAGCTGCTAATCGCGAGCAGTGAAGCCGCGAGAAATACCACCTGCCAGAGAACTTGGGTTTTTTCAATACCACCCACTTTTATCACCTCATTGACCTCAACTGACCCCAATTAATCCAACCAATTAGAACGGACTATTCTTGCGCAAAATACAGGCGTGAAGG